TTTGGTACCAAAGCAGTATTCCTTGCTGAGGACAATAATTGCAGCACTCTTCCAAGGACTGGTAAAATATATCAACAAACAAACTAGTAAAAACTATCAACAAACAAAACTAATCTCAAGAAGAGAAAAGGCTGGAAGGGTTTTCACTGGAATCTAGCTGGTGTCCAAACACTCACTGTGAGTTCTGTCAAGAAATTCCATCCCTTTAGCAAAAATAATATGCAGAGTTATTTGCAAATGAATTCTGACTGTTCCTTCCTGCAACTCTTCACCGATTCATTCTCATCTCCCTTTTCCTCTCCCTCTACAACTTGCATTACTTGTTTGAGAAACAGGATTTATTATCATCCTAATCGCCTCCTATTTTGGGGGAAGGGGGAAAAAGAAATGGAAATTAATATTATTTCATTTGCTTGCATATGTTGGAAGGGTGTGATCTTCCCTTTCAACTTGCAGGAATTTTATGGAGGAAAGGAAGGGTTTTCTCTGTGAACAGGGATACTGTTAGGAGACGGGACAGTCTCTTCCCTGTTCACAAAGAATTTTGGTTTCTAGGCACCTCTTCTAGCCTTTTGGATCTGTTGCCTTCTTCCTAAACAGAAAAACCCAGTTATTATTAGAGACAGCACTTATTCCTGTTTAGCACCCATCCCTCTTCTCTTTTTTTTTTTTTTTGGACATAACCTAACATGCACAGAGGCAGAGACTACAACACTGAGTGACAGAGGTTCCGGAATCAGAAGATACTGACATTATTTGTGTTTGATTGGGGGTGGGGGGGGAACACAAAACAGGACTTATATAAACCTCTGCAGATACTGATTAGCTTATTTTAAAAATAAAATGAAAGGTTGCTGTTGATACGCATTAGTGGAGAAAACCTTCCTTTACTGCAGGCAGGGAGCTGAGCTTTTATACTCATCACTTCTGCACCACGCTCCTGTATTAGAGTCACAGAAAAGATCCCTATAATAATGAAGCAATACAAACCTCTGCATTTTATAAACAACAATCTGCAGAGCCTAAGTGAATACGAGGGTGTAATTCACTTCAGGATTTCTGCAGCTGTTAATAAATCACTCAAGCTGCACTCTGGCGGCTTATGACATCCACAGATCCCCTCAAGTGAATTACAGCCATTAATTTACACAGAGGAGGCCATCTATCATCTATTATTGACCATCTGTTACTAAGAATATATACATTTTGGATAAATTAATAAGATTTTGATAGAAAACTTCTTTACTTTTATTCCTATATACATTCGTGATGTTCAGCTCTGGGTTTGTAATTGTCAGGGAAAACTGACTTGTGACAGCAGCCAGAGGTGACTACATGTTGGCTGCAACGGTATACCTCACAGCAAGTTAGTGAGGCACCCTGGCTAGTGCTTAAGGCCACGCTCCTGCACAGATGGAATGGATTTTTCCTCTCAAAGATGCCACAGGAAGATATTTACTTGCTCAGTATACAAAGGAAACGAATTCTCTGTGTGCCCATGCCAATGGAAAAGTGTCATTTCCAGTGAGAAACCTGTTACCCCTTCGCACAACATCATTTCTTCCCAATAGTAAAAATAATGGCTACAGAGCATCTGCTAGCTGTAAACAGAAGATAAAACATTACCACAAATGAAAGCTCAGGCTCATTACACCTGACGATTTACTTCAGCCCCTTCCTTGTATTTCTTTCTGTTTCTTCATGCTTCTACTTCACTCGGTGGTATTGCTGGGCTCTTAAAAATGGGCAGAACTGAGGGTAGAGATTTGGGCACAGTATTTCCAGCTTAAAATTCCAGCATAAACTATACATAAACTATAGCACAAGACACGGTGCGCTTTAAAACTTCAATGGCACCAAGGTGCATTACAGCCCAGCAGGCCTGCTAAAGAGCCAGAACATATGTAACAACTCGGCTTTGTCATTGGCACATAAACACTCCCAGATGTCCGTTTCAGAAATGCTTACACTGGGTCTGTGTAAAAGTACTACAGAATAAAAGTAAGCAAAAACCCCCCAAATGCCTGCGTGGCTGAGTAAAACCGTCAAGCGGGTGATGGACTTTTCAACTGCAGTTATATGTGTGCAGTCCTCCAAATTACCCATTGCCACAGTATTTAAGTCAGCTTTGCAAATAAAGTAAGAATGGACGTACAGGCATACAGGGACAAAACACCATTTGCTCAGCCAGAGCTGTATCTTTTTCAGCTTAAGCTGGATTTGGCTTCATATCAATGGCAAGGTTTTGTTGCAGGGGTGGTTTTGAATAGGGAGGCTTAGGGGTGAGGGCTGCATTCTGAGACTGCAGTTGTGGGCAGAAGCCTGGACCAAGGCAAAGCCCCAGAGATTGCAACGCAGCAGCAGCTTCTACACATAACTCAAGTCGAAATTTAAAGTTGTGCTTCTTAAAAGATACGGTTTTGACAAAACCACTCATCCCGTAAATATTATAATAGCTACAATTTTTCAGTGAAATCTGGATGACCAAAAACATTTGCAATATTAGGACTGTACTGTCATAGCATATATAGGATGCTGAAAATGTAAAAGCTACCGTTCCCAAAGTGGGAACATCTACAGAAGCAGTGAAAGTGAAATTTTTGTAATTGCAACAATTGAGGAATACTACTTTGAGAATTAAGGACTACTGATTCTTGCCAATGCACACTGAAATAAACTCATGCGCTTGCCTGGCATACGCTCAAAATCTTTTAGTCTTCTAGTGTCAGAAAAAAAATTCTCTGGCAGAAGTCACAAAATCACCATAGACATGTTGAGTAACATATGAGTGAATTAAATTTTTATGTCTTTAAAAATAATGCTATCATCAGCATCCTTCGATAACTAATTAGAAAACAGTAAAATTTTATTATTTGAGACCTTTCATGTTCTGGCGAAGGTTAAGCTTGATACAGTAGTATTAATTTAGTTAGTGAAACTGATGTTGAAACTATCTATTGGTCTTTCACAATACAAACTATAATAAATTTCTGAAATTACATCTAGCTGAAGCTAGTTGCCATGTATCTGCTGGTTTCCAGAAAAAACACGGGCACTCAACATTGTTCAACACGGTAAATTTATTCCTGAAGCATCTCATCATGATTTGACCACCCTACTTTCTTATTTTCAAAGACAGTATTTTCTTTTATTGAATGAAAGACGTACAATGGGAAAATGCTGTAATGTAGAAGAAATAGCAAACCCAACTGTAAACAAACGGGAAACAGTGCTTATTTTTTCTTCCACTTTTATAATTGTTGCCAGAAGAGCAGAGGAAATAAATTGTAGATGAATGTATTCTGAAAAAAAACCCAAAACATCCTTTCAGATGTTGCCAGTGCTTTGTCACCAGGTCACCTGCTGGAGTCTATGACAGGGATGTAAATAAGGGGTTCCTGTGCACACTGCTTTGACCACATTAAGGACTCACCACCCATTGTTGGAGCTGTGGAAAACTTGTTCCCATTCCCACTGAAGCCAGCATCTTCCATTCTAGCAATATCTACATTTCTGAGATGACTGTAGCCTTTCCCATAAATACACAGGGCAACCTGGTGCATCTATAAAACAATACACAAGTGTTGTTACTCGTATTATATTATCACAGTGTTGCTGCTTGCAGTGCTTTTGATAGGCCATTCTGTTTTGAAGCAAATCTTTCAGGTGTTCATGATTTAACAGTAAAAATCTGTGCTAAGATGGTTTAGCAACAGGGCATGCAAAATCTCAGCTTCAGAAGCAATTTCTTGTTATCAAATTATAGTAAAATCAATTTAGCTAGCTATTGGGTTTTTTTGGGACACATGCCGCTTTCTAGATATTGTGTCACTTGTATAATTAAAGCAAAATTAAGCTCAGTTCCACATAAAATTATATTTTACTAAAAAAAAAACCTTTAGCATCCTACTACTATTGAAAATGAGGATTTGGTATTCCTGGTGAGTGGCTGTGGAGAGGAAAGATGTTACATGGCAAACCATGACAAATCTTTCCCTCCTCCACAAAAATTTACCGCTACCTTAAGATGAATGCAAAGAATCTAAAAGGTTCTAGTAAACTTATAAAACCTGTGTTTGAGAACAGTCCGTAATCAGGATATCACACGACAAGAAGCATAAAGGGCAACACGAAATATTAAGTACGTAATAAAACTTCTGAACTTCCAGCAGAAAGACGTTTGCCTCAGAGTTTCCCGACTCCCGCGGATGTGGAGCGGCTCAGCCGCTCTCGCCTTAGCAGGGTTTTATTTCCACACGCGCGTTCAGCTCAGCCCGTTCCTGCCCATGGGCGGTACCGCGCTCCCCCCTCCCCGCCCCGCGGGCTCCACGGGCCCCGCCAGCCGCCTTTTGTTCCGAGGGGGCATCCCGGAGCTGCCCCCACGCCCGGCCACGGACACGCGTGGGGGTGTGGGGAGGGGCTGTGCGTGCGCCGCCCCCCCGCTCCGCGTCCCGGCAAAGGAGGCGCCGTCCCGGCCCCTCCAGGCCGCGGGGGCCATTTTTAAATGTCTCTAGCCGGGCGCTGGCAGCGGGGCAAGCGGGCGGCGGGCCCCGGGAGCCGGCTGAGGCGCGGAGCTGCCAACCGCCGCCGCCGCCGCCGCTCCCTCAGGCGCGGCGGGCCCGCGCGCGGGGTGACGGCGGCCGCGCGCCCCCGCGGCGGGGAGCCCCTCGCGTTTAAAGGGCAGCACCGGGAGGAGGAGGGATCCCTCCGCCGCGTGAGCCGGCCGGAACTTCTTCCCGCACGCACCGCCGGACGGTCGAGCCGCGGGGTGGCCCGGGCCTTGTTTCCTCTCAGAGAAATCCTTCCGCCGCGGCGGCGCGGCGATGGGCGCTGCGGGGCGCGCTGTCCCTCCTCCGCGGGCGAGGCGCGGGGGCCGGCGGGCCGGAGGGCTGGCCGCGCGCTCGGCGGCCTGAGCGGAGCGGCGGGCGGGCGGGCAGAGAGCGCCGCAGGTTAGGGGGGGGGGGGGGGGGGGGGGGGCGGGAGGGAGTCGGCCGCGGTGCCTCGCTAGCGGCGTATCCTTCCGCGGCGGCGGGCGTGAATCGGTACGTGTCCGCGGTGTCCCTCCGCCGCCGGGAGCGCAGGGGCGGGCAGCGTCTCCCCGGACGGGGCGAGGAGGTCGCGGACTCCGCTGGGAGGAAGAAGAAGAAACTTCGGAGCGCGGTGGCCGGCGCGGCGGTTCGGCAGGCCGGCGGAGAGAGGGCTCCCCGCAGAGAAGGAGGAAAAGGAGGAGGAGGAAGTGGCGGCGACGGCGGCCGGTCCCCGCCGCCGCCCCCGCGGGGTCTCTGGGGGGGAGCCCGAGGGACTCTTTCTCGCGGGGCCCGGCGGAGGGATCTCCAGGCGGCTTCCCCCGTCGCCTCCCCCCTGCACCGCTCGTTCCTCGGCGCCGCCATCTTGAATTTTAATCCGCCATTTTTTTTCCTCCCCCCACTCGGAATTATTTTTTATCACTACCGCTCCTTTTTTTCGCCCCCCCCTTCCTTAGTTTTTCCCCCACCCCTCCCCTCGCTCCGTCTTCACTTCTCCCCTACCCCCTTGCACCTTCCTCCATTTTTTTTTTTTTTCCCCCTCTCGCTCCCTTCCCTTTGATGATTCATTTTCCCCCAGTGGCGGCTGGGGCAGCGCCGGCGGCGGCCAGGGACCCAGCGCGGCAGGTAGTGGGCAGGTGAGTGTGTGTCTTTGCGGGGGGGGGGGGGGGGGGGGGGGGTGTCGCGACTGCCGTGGGCGCTGCGAGCAGGGGGCCCCCGCGCGTGGGAGGCGCCAGGGGCCGCCTGTCAGCGCCGGGAGCTGCGAGGGGGCTGCGCCCCGGGGGAGGGGGGGGGGGGGGGCGGCGGGCCCGGTGCGGGAGTGCGCGTCCGTGTGTCCGTCCTCCCGCCCGTCCCCCCCCCCGCCGCGGGCAGGGCGAGGGCGGCGTTCGGCGGCGCTGACAAACGGCCCCCGCGGTCGCAGGGAAAGGGGGGGAGCGGGGGGGGTCCCGGGGAGCCGCGGCGGGGGCCGGGGCGGGGCCGCCCCTCGCTCCCCGCCCGGGGTTCGCTCCAGCCACGGGAGGCGGCGGGGGAAGGTGGGGAGGGAGCTGGTGGGTGTCGGGGCCGCTGTGCGGGGGGACCGGGTAGCGGTGCCGGCGGCACGGCGCGCCTTTGGGAGAGCCCCGCTCGGAGTTGTAACCCCTGGCTGCGCTGCTTGGCTTTTAGCGAGGGCTGGTTTGGGTGACCCTGCCGGGTTCCGAGCGCGCTGCAGTTAGGGCGAAACGCCTGACATCTTCGGGGGGGTTGTGATACTTTATTTTTTTTTTTTTTATTTATCCCTCACTGGGGAGTATATGTTTTTAATGAAGGGGTAGAGCACATGTTTGTCTGGCATCTGTACATGAAACTTCAAAGTCAGGTTATCTTCAACATGTTACTCTTGAAAAGTAGAGATGGAGGGTTTGGAGAGAGAGCACGTGGTGTTCTCTTGAGTTGTATCACAGGCAGTATGAGAATCTGACGTCTATATCTTGGTGAGTTGAATTCAGCACAGGGCGACACACAGGAGGTGGCAATCTGATCAGTGTTTAATAGTCTACCTATAAATATATAGTGGGAGGTTTTAATCAATGAGGTTGAAATGTATTATAGAATAAGTTCACGCAGTCATGTCCCGTGTCCATAATCTGATCACTGTATGGATGCATCTTCTGTTTTCATTTAAAACAAACTTTTGTCGAGTTCTTTAAGCCTTCTTTCTTGCAAGTAGCACTTGGGTGAAAAAATCCAGACTTACTTGATTGAAAAATGGGATTTTTTTGTTTGTTTGTTTTATTGTGCTGTTTTGTTATTAGAGCCAGATAGGTGCATACTGACATTTCTGCTTTATACCCATTTGAGTTCGCAAACTGGAAAATAAGATTTATTTAAAGCAATTAGTTAGCACACTGCATAGTAAATGAGTAAGTGGGGTGATGTATCCTTGTACAGTCGGTAACAGGACTGAACGGCGCTCTTAATACTTGTTTTGCTCTTAGGACTATCCTATTGCAGGACTACAGTTCCCAGTATTCTTTTCACTTCAAACAGTGTTGTGCTTTAATGCAACAGCCGGTTGCCCAAATTAACATAGTAAGTGTAAGGTATGATACTTCTGCGCTAAACAGTGAACAGCTAGAGCTGTGGTTTGAGAATGCAAAGCGTTTGGGAGCAGTCCCAGGTTAAAAGCTCCAGACCCCTTCCCTGACCTTGTCCCCCCACCCTCCTGTAACATCCTCTTGTACACCGTGCTTCAAGCCGGCAAAGCTCAAACTTCTTTGGTGACTTCCCTGATTTGGTCACTGCTTGGCTCTGCAGTTGTTTTGGTGGCACGGAGGGAGGATGGCATGGCAGCGGGCACAAGCGGGCGAGGGGGCAGCAGAGCTGATTCTGGCCTTGAAGTCTTCCTTGGACTGTAGTGCTGTTTGTGCCGGCCGTGGTGGGGCTGCCCTGAGCCGCTGGGTTCAGCTGAGCCGGTGCAAGTCCCAGAGCTGAGCTCGTAGAGCAGCTGACACATTTCCCTCCCCTTGCATTGCTCCTGCTGCTGCTCCTCCAGTACGTTCTCTCTTGCTCTAGCGCCCATTGGATTCTTCACTAAACCTGCTCAGCACATTAAACCAGCAGAAAATTACCTGCTCCCCCCTCCCTGTTGGGTTAATGAGGTTAAATTGAGTTATGTAGAGGTCTGCTGAGCTCCAGAATTGGTGGAAATTCTTGTGTGAATTGGCAAGGGGGGGGGGGGGGGGGGGGGTGGGAGGAGGTTCTTTCTCCCTCTCCTGGAAGCAGTGAGCTTTTGGAGTGTCTCTGAAAGTCTGCTGAACACTGGAGCTGCTGCAAGTGAGTTGGGTGGATTTTGCAGGCTTTAGGGTGCTTTGTTCAGCCGGTTATTCAGCCTCACCCGGAGAGGGGAGGAAGGCAGGACAGGGGGGAAGAGGAAAAGGGGCAGGAACTGCTGAAGCATTTCTGTATGTGCATTTTCCCTCTGCCACACATTTGTGCTGGTTTGCTATTGCTTCTGCACCTGCACTGTACTTGGATTAGTATCTATATTGACACACAAAAACCACATGGCTGCAAAAGAACTGGCACAAGAGAAAGTGAGAGTGTAGACACTGAGCTGTTGATGGGGGATTGAAGCCTGGGTTTGGGTTAGTTTTGGATCCGTGTGTGCTTTCACACCCTTGCATTCTGGAGCTGCAGTTCTACAGTAGTTTGAACTGACATGAGTCAGTTTTGACCCAGTCTTACAGTCTCTCACATGCTGCTGCTAGTCCATGTTCAATTCTGCACTGAGCTTATTCAGAGAACTAACTATCTGGAAAGAAACACTCAGAAAAAATAATATTTTTTTCTGGTGGTTTAATTTAATGAACTAGTTCATCCCAGGGCCAAAGAAAGTCAAAAGTGGGTGTAAAATGAGGTGGCTAAAAGGAGAATCTGCAGGTTGGGACTGAAGTAGCCCTTCCTAGGTAGGTTTCATCCTGTTGAGGAACTGCAGCCTCAACTCCAGAATCTTTGGCGCACTGTGGGACTGCCTGACCTTTCTTTTAAGATACAACTTTGGCTACAGAGCTTATAGGAGAGTAAACTCCAAAATACCTTATTTTTTTTTGTCACATTCTGTGGTTGCAAAGACCTCTGTTTCCGTACCTGGTTTTACTGTGTTTTAGTATCATCCACAATAATTTGTAGTGTAACATAGAACATTAGGTTCCTGTTTAAAGTGACGCTGCATTGGCTTCACACTATTTGTGATCCAGAAGCACTCCGTACCTACCTCCCTTTCCTCTCTGGCGTATTGGAACTTGTCTGAGCTATCAAAAACAGTAACTGAAATAAGATTTGAGACTGTTTTGAATAACTCCCTAAAGCTGTGCAAGTTTTCATTCAGTTTTGATTTTGCACAGTCTTTCATATTCTTAGAAGCTTGAATGCTTTTTAGGAGTGGGTGGGTTGTTTTGTTACCCAGATGGGGTGGCTGTAGTTAAATTATCTACAGACTGGTGATCCTGTAGAAAAACTGGTTGTGTAGTTTTGCTCTGCTTCCCAAATTTAATGGTCTGTTGCCTTTTTTTTAGAGCTATCAGTAGTGAAACATATATTTTCTCTTGGTACCATTGATTTGTCCAGAAAAGCTGAGGTGGTGGTCATTGGGTCTTTTGTTTTGTTTTTGTGTCCTATATTTGCTTTAGGCTGCTGTCTTGCTGAGGAAGACTTCTTTGCATCTACAGCTAATTTAAACAAAAACATACAAAACAAAACTAAAAAAACAACACACCTAAAACTGGTTTATATGTTTGGATTCTTAATAAAATTAAGAAACTGTATTTTTGAAGGCCATCCTTTGACTGTCTGTGTACTGGAGGCCATGGGAAAGGGGAGGATGACCCTGCCTGTTAGAAAACCTTCTGACCCTATTGTCTTTGCCTGTGTCCTGGAGAGGGATGAACAAAATCCACTGCCTCTGTTTAGAAGCTATCCCTGTCCTTTAAGTAAAAAATATTTATATGCAAAAACTGTATAACAGAAGACTAAAATAAATCATACTTAAATTTATGATTACTGATGTATATGTTTGTATGGTTAAGAGTTTTATTGATTTGGTTTTGTGCACCTTCTTTTTTCTCCCCCTCACAACAGCACTTTTCTGAACTGATAGATTTCGCAGATGAGAGCCCAAAATCTGGGAGGCTCAGACAGCTTTTGAGATCCATTTTAACAGCCATAGAATTTCTTCACTCAAAGTCATAGGGATTTGCTACACTTCCCAATATAAAAGGACTGAGGCCTTTCATATGTGATATAAATCTGAATGGTACTGTTTAATCAGTCTGGTAAACACTTCTGGATAAATCTGGCTTTGTGAGTATCTTATGCGATACAGCATTAATCGTGTCTGTGTTTCAGCTGTTGATTGGTGGTTCCGAATGTTACTGAAATGCAAATAATGCTCAAAGTGTAGTAGTAGGCTTAATAAATGTAGAACCAGGTGAATGAAACTTGAGGTTTCATTTTTGAGAGTGCTGTTGCAATGAAATGCTGAATTCCTCGAAGGGAGGTGCTGAATTCAATTGAGCTGTTTTGACATTTGAGGAAATGTGCCTGTAAAACTACTGTGAGAGAATTATAAAAGGCAGTATAATTATAAAGAGTAGTGATATAATGAATAAAGGGTTAAAACAGCAATGTGGACATTTACATTGAAATAAAAAAAGGTCTGTTGGAAACTGTAATTGTGCTGGTAAAGTTAATGGTATAGATAAACCTGAAGTCATAAGTGATGCATGCATGGTGTTACATTATTTTATGGTGGAGCCCTTTAGCAGGAATCTGTAAGCATGTGGAGGTGTAAGTATGTTCCAGTTTTTTCTGGACTAGGAAGATCACTTTCATCTCTTCCTTTTCTCCTTCTTCCTGAAGAACTTGTCAGCATGAGTCTGATGTAGGAAGTACTGAGAGCAGATCACATCTGAAGATCACATGGTGGTGATGGGTGGGGGCATCTCTTGCTGTTTTTTAGGTTATCTGGTGGCATTACAAGCAGTGATACTCCCTGGAAAAGGAATCCTGTCAGTTGGTTCTGGCTTTTGATAGCAGTGTTTGCGTATTGGGAGAAGGACCAGAGGCTGAAGAAGCACACTTGCAGTCTTCACGTTTGTCATTTCGCTGGTATTAGAAAATGAAAGGCAGCAGTAGGTGGAGACAAAGGTTTTCTTGCTCATTAGGCTGCTAGGCTCAAATAAATAATGATTTTTCTCAAGAACGTTTGCTAGGCTTCACTAAATGACTTCTGATTTTGCTTGGGGAAGACTTCTGTTGTCATATATATCAATATATTTTGCAGCAAAAGCAAGTATTCTTCCTTAGGCTTAGTATGGTTTGAGTATTCTGTGGCCGTGTTCCTTCTTACCTTTACACTTTCTTAGTCATTACTGTATTCGCTAGGCAGAAGTATGTTAGCACAGATAGTACTGACTTTCTCCAAACTGGACTTAGGAAAGATCAGTTTTCTTTGTTGTTCAGAGTATGCCTTTTCTGGCTGAAAGTGTAGCTACTGTACCTGTTAGTTTTCGGAAACACTACCATATTGAATGTTTTTTCTCCCAATTGTTGCATACCAGCATTCAGCTAAAATTGGACTTCGTGGTAAACTTCATTTACCTGTACTGCTCTTGAACTGTAGCACACCAGAGTATAGTTCAGTTCTGGATTACAAAGAGACCAAGATAGAATTTAGTGGAGGACTTTAATGTAGTTTTTGTTTTAATGCATTTTATTACCACTTGTACAGAAATGAAGAACAGAGTTTAATTAGAGCATCTAGAGCTGTAAAATGGTTGAGAAGCAGAAAGAGGGAAGTTTAAAGAGTGAGTTTGTCATTAAGTGTTCATCTGATAGTGCAGATCTTCACAGGGTAGCTGCTTTCTGAAAGAAGTTCGGTGGGATGCCTAACAAGAAAGTTTTGGGGTTTTGTTGTGGTTGGTTTTTTTACTTTTTAAATGTATGTTATCAGGTAAGCTCCATGAAGAGAGTTAAAAAAAAAAAGGCCTAATGTCCTCTAGTACAGGTTTAGCTGCAAGATTTCCAAGGGTTTTTTTGGAGGTACTATGTAAAAATGTCTGGTTCTACTTACAGCTAAATGCAATTAATAGGGTTTTTCCTCACAAATTTTAAGTGTCTGTTTTGGTTTTTTTCTGAAGGCTGTATCTGGTAACTTCCTAAAGAATGTTGTCAGTATGCAGAGTGACTTTTGTATTCTGGTCGTCAAACTGCTCAGTTCCAACTCTGTTAAAGAGCTATGTTAAAGCTTGCTGGTCCAGTAAGAGAGACATGTAGACCTTTTTAATCTTGAAGTCAAAGCCAATCCCTCCTATCACTGGCAGCAAGAAAATGCCTTGTCTACTGAGCTTATCTCATTTTTTTTACTTATATTGAAACAGTAGTTCAGCCAGCTTTTCCTCAGTATGATTCTGTTACAGTTTGTCAATAATCTTACTATCCTTCTGTGACAATTTGTAAAAGGTTCTAAAACCTGTAGATTTCTGGATGATAGTTCTAGTAAGAAGTCTGAGCCAATACATCTGTTAAGACACTTATCTCTACTCTTTTTCTCTACAACCTCAATCTTCTGAATCTTTGTAAGTAATTTAGTTACTAAGCTGGCCACAAATACTGCTGTAGCTTTAAGTAGCTGAATCACATAGGTGTCTAACACAAATCCCGTATTTTGCTACTCTGAACTGATTAAAAACAGTACTTTTACAAAAGACAGTATTTCAAAACGTGTTTGTTGTGACTTTCTTCCACCGGATTTAAATGCCTGTTACATGATGCCTGGTATATGCTGTGGGCAGAGCATTAACACTCTTTTTTAAATTACAGTAAAAAGAAAAAGCACTATTTATTTCTTTATAAGGAATCAGCAGGGAGGAGGATAATTTAAAACCAAGTAAATAAATTACTGCTGCATAAATGCAATTGTAAAATGATTGTGTAAATCAGTGTTGAATTCTTCCCTGCAAGTTACACAGAGTGAGACACAACTGTGTACAAAAACTACATTCGTAGCTTTCTTATAATTATTTATGTAAAAGGCATTGAGATTGCAGACAAAAACTAGCATGTGTTTTGCTATCCATTTAGGTACTGTAAAATTTCAGCTCTACTTGTGACCCCACTCACTACTGGTCCATTGAGTCAAATGCGTTTTGACTATTTTTTTGTTACATGGAACATAGAAATAGCAGCCTGGGTCCTCTAGAACAACATTCAGGGGTTTTTGAACTCTGATTTTTAAATAAAGATTTAACATCTTTCCCCTGCCTCCATTCAAAAAATGTTGTCAGTTTTCTGGCTGGGTGAGTTTTTTTCCTGTTTTTTTTTAACTGTGCTCATCTTCAGTTCTTGGAGGATGTTTGTATAATATTCTTTGCTGTATAGTTCCAAATCAGTTACAGTTTTTATTTATTAGGAAATAAAGTCTTAATTGGGTGTGTATTTGAGAATACTCCACTTCTGGAGTCACATATCTGTGTGTGTATTTATACATGTGTATGTATGCCTGTATGAATACATAGGTGTATATATGTGTGCATAATCCAGCTCTTAAAATTGCATAGTCCTTAGCAATTTATCAGCTTTAGAATTCTGTCTTTTCTTCGGCTGTGGTTGTAAGTTGTAGGACAGAACTTCACCTGTGGATATCTGTACTTGCAAAAGTTCCCTGTACTAGTGCTAATGAACTAGTTTTCTTCCTTCCTAATGCAAATGCAGATCACCATATTCCCCACCCCACCACCCCTTTTTTTTTTTTCTTCCCCTTTTTGTTAAAATTTGAGTCTTGGAAACAGTTTCCCAGTAAGTTCTAATCATGCTTATGTTTTGCTTCCGGTAGGAATTGGAACTGAAATTATTCATCCACTTCTCCGAGCCTTCTGAAAAGTGACTAAATGCAACTGAGTCAGATTGTCTGTGGGAATGAAGTGGCTGGGAGAATCCAAGAACATGGTGGTGAATGGCAGGAGAAGTGGAAGCAAGTCGTCTAATGACCACACACAGAATCAGAACAAATTGCAGCATGCAGGAAAGGAGAATCCGAAGACAGGCAAAAATGGAGTTGAGAGAAGATCAAGCAGATGTATGTACATGTTTATGTGGCTTAGTGCTGTATGTGATTCATCTAGCAATTTGCAAGTCAGGCTTCTGTCTTGTCTTAATTCATGAAGGAGGTCTGCAGTCAGCATGTAGCTATCAGAAGTATTAATGATGTTTGTATTTGTTGGATGTGTTAACTCACTTCAGGAATATAGATCTCTTCAGTTTAAAAGCCAAGTGAGAATAACTAGATGTAAGTTAAGTTTGAACTGGTATATGTATAAAATACACGATTGGTACTAAGTAAGAACTAGTGTGATCGGAAGTGGATAATATATAACTTGAATTACTAGCCCAACTTTTAGTGAATGCACATGTAGAAGGATGTCACATATATCAATAGTCATTATGTAACAGTTTGAAGGAACATCAACTTTTATTTTTGCTATTGGTCTGGGATGAAGGACTAAATATAAATTCAGACTAAGTCCTTCATTCAAGTTTTGGGGAAATCAGGTTTTAAATTTTCAGAACTTCATCATGTTTATGGGTCAGAAATTTTAGAGGCAGGCATGACTGAACTGTGTAGTCTGGAAAGATGCTTGTAGTTGGGGAGAAGAAAGAAGAAAAACAAAATTGGTTAAAGACACCCTCAAAATATGTTCTAAAATACTTTCTCCATTGGCTGCTACATAAATGAACGAAAGCAAGAGTGAAAAAATAACTGTGCTCCTGCTTCTTCAGATATTTTATCTTCCTTGATTGATCTATATTTTTTGTCTCCAACCTGTGGCTGTCTGTCCCTGAGCATAGCTGGGCTTTATAACATTCTTTAAATGATACCTAATTTATACTCTCTTATTTGCAGGTAGCAGTGCTTCAGGATTTGAGGGTCAAAGTCGTTACGTGCCTTCCTCTGGAATGTCTGCCAAGGAACTGTGTGAAAACGATGACCTAGCAACTAGTTTGGTTCTTGATCCCTATTTAGGTTTTCAGACACACAAAATGAATACTAGGTAACTTGTCTTTATTTTTCTAGAAAAGAATTGCTCTTCTTAGTTGATGTAATCGGAGCAAAACTGTGGAATTTCTTGCATGTTTATGAAAGTCTGAAAAAATGGCAATTTGAGTGGCTTCTGCCTTTAAAACAATGTTGCATGTGAGACTGGAACTTGGAGATCTGTGGCAGCGTCATTTGTAGTGCTACCAGGTCTTTCTGTCAGCCCTCATGCATGTTTATGTTGTAGAACAGGTGGTTAATAGTGATTCCTAGCTTAAACAGTTAACTAATCATAAATTTTAAACCATTAGTCATTTGAAATATTTCAAAGACAGAAGTTAGCATTCAGGGTATTTTGGGACTTTTCTGTTTATTTCACGTGCCTGGGTGCTTTTTCTATTTTTTTTTTTTTTTTTTTTTTTTTTTCCCTCTTTTTCCCACTTATGATATCTCAAAGACATAGTTCCTGAGCATTTCAGTGTTTGTGCCACTTGCTCTTAAATTCTTGCAGACCCGTGCTGAAGGAATGCTACTCGGACATGTCTGTCTGTAGAAGATAAATTAATGTGCACGCTGGGAACTTCCTTACCAGAATTGCACATACTTTTGCACTGTTATGCACCTGTCTGAGTACTCCTGGTCTAAATTCACTGTGGTCTTAGGGTGTAGTTGTTACATGTTTCTTCCTGTTTTACAGACATGCCACTGATTATAAATATATTGTATAGAGCTCGTTTTAAGCTTTTGTTTGCAAACAAGATCTGCATTGCTAGTTTAATGGAGAAGCTATATATAATTGATAGACTTCTAAGGACAGGAATTGTATGCTTAATTTTGTACAATGATAAGAGCTGGGGTTTCCAGGCAGCACATCATGGGAAACAGGCTGCTCAACCCTTCAAACTGCTGCTGTGGCTATTTTTAAAGAGGAACAGTTTACCTGTGCAGCACAGTCTCATAACCAGAGTATCAGTTAAGTAGATTTTTGTACGTATGTAACAAGCTGATTGCTTCAAACATGACTGTTAGATTAATCGGTGTTGTCATGTAACATAAATGGTTGCTGGTATAGCCTGACAGCATGAGTTGCACGTGAAATTGCATCAGTGTGGTCCTAGTAACTGGAAGGACTTGCTCCAAAGAGATTTTTCTTTTTCGCTGGAGAGTGCAACATCCATCTTTAAGAGGAATGCTTGAGTTCTTCCTGTTCCCTCCGTGATACTGGTTACAATAGCACATTGTGCCCAAAACAGTGTCTAGGTAGATGCTCTTACAGTTCAGTTTGGAGTGTCTTTGTATTTCCAGCAATTAACTGAGCTAAATACATATGCTCAAAAGACTTTTCTGTTACACGAATGGTAGCCTACAGGTTATGCACAGGTAGTTAATTCTTAAGTTTTTTGCTAAGGAAATTATGTATTCATTGTTTAATAGTTGAGGAAGCTGCTTTCATAAATGTTGTTTTCTGCTGGTATGTTTTCAACACCTGAAATACTTTTTTATTTACTAATTTGAATCAAAAGACTACACAAAGGCTATCATCATGTATTTCTTCCTTTCTCAGACTTGGAGAACAGTTACAGGCAGTCTTCAAGGACAGTAGTTAATAATCTTGGAGCACTATGGGAAATACTTAGGTGAGGCTTACAACTTCTACCAGAAAAACATCTTATTGCCTCTTTCATAATATCCTATTGAGAAAGTTTCTATTGCAATGAATTAAAATAAAGGCATCGGCATAGTTCTTGTTTACCTTTTTAGTACAGTGGTGAAATCTGCTTGTTGTTGCAGCCATGACACTTAGATCATCTTCCTTCCATCTAGCAAGCTGTAGTCTTTCCAGAGCTCCTGAGAGTGTTGTATGGCTTTGAGGGAAGACAGGGTGGCAGGAAAGCCAATATGAAGAGACTAGACCATTTTCAAAATACCAGATGCCAGTACCCAAATACATGATTGTAGTAGAAATTAAGATTTACAGCTTATGTTTGGGCATCTTTTGCTTCAGTGTGATAAAGTCATATTAGTTACATAGTTTATGGATTGAGGTGTGCTTAAAACAGCTGTTAATGATGGCAAGCACATATTTCCTGTTCCCTTGTTCTGATTTGCCTGAAGACCTACTGTGGAAGTGACTGTGCCAGCATTCTGCTTTGCTGTTGGAAACATATAAGAGGTTTGTATTTTTGCAACTAGCAGCCCCATGTAAGTTGATAACCACTTACTGAAGTTGTACTTTACCTCTGGAAGCAAAGTCTGTATTTTTGTATGTATAAAGTGTTTATATAGAAGCACTTCATGTACTTCATTCATTCCTTTAGTTGAAGAGCTTGTAAAGACCTTTTGTTTTGCCCGGAGTATATTGATTGGAGGAAAAAAAAAACTTGTCACGTTCTAGTGAAATATCTAGATTATTGTTGGAAAGTCTTTGTTTTCTGTCTTCTTTATACTGAATATACTGATCTTATGGTAGAGTGGCAAAAAGAACACGATTGTTATTTTTCTATTTTTTTTTTTTCCGGGGGCTATAAAAATAAAGTCCTGCAATTCCTGAATGCACTCCATCTTGGGAATTGCGCTATTATCTTTGCAAGCTGTTACATCAGTAATGTCTGAAAGAGCTGAAGACTAGTTCTCAAAAGGTTGCAATTGGATCCCCCAATGACTTTGTCCAGTGTTCCTGTGAAATATCTTTTTGCCAGGGATTTGGTAGACAGCATAAAATGTAGCTCTGGAAATGTCTTCAGTGGCTTTACCCAAAAGTAACATTTTTTCAACCTCTTTGATTTCCAAGAGAAAACAAGTTGTTTTCAGAGCTTCTGGCCTTCTTTATAGGCCCTGTGGTCATTCTTTCATCAAGCTGGTAGCTCTTACCTTGACAAAACTGCAGATTAGCAGTTAATTAAAAAAAAACCCATCCATATGTTAGGAAGAATAATCTTGTCAAGTATAGCTACGCCAAGAGGTTTTGTTGCTTCTTGTACAAATCCTTTTATATCAGACCTTTTTTTTTTGTGACAAAGGCTATCCTGGCTGTAAGATATACTTAGTCTTCTATGTCTGTCCTTTTTGTAAAAACAAAACTGATTTTTCAAGCTATTACTTCCTGGGTTGAAGGTTATCCAACACTAGAGATTAAAACTGACCCTTTAAGAAGTCAAGTGAATTCTTGCTTATCTTACCATCTCTTATCTTCATATGCTTTTCCCTGGGATGAGTGCTGAATCTTGAAGTTGCATGCCTTAATGGCTAATCTACTCTTTACTGTCTTGCGTACAAATGCATCAATATTTAAATCTTAAGCAAGACTCCTGATCATACTGCTGTTGTTTCCTGGTTCCCTAAAGCACAAGTATCATGCTAGGGAATACTGAGAGCAGTTCCAGTGTCTTTCTAAGTTAGCAAGTGATTTGGGAAGTCGAACGCATCGTCGTCTGGTTTAGGAGACTCTAGGGGTGTTTCCTAAATCTGTATCGATGCTTTCAGTGAGGTTGCAAACTGGTATGTGGTGTGGGTGGTTTTTTCTGATAATGGGAGACTAAATGACCGAGCTTTAAGAATTGCCATGTTTTCCATAGCAAACATGAAGTGTTTGGGGATGACATACAGAAGCTGCTTTCTCTCAACACTACACCAAGAGCAATTGCTGGCCTTGGTGTAAACTGTCAGTCATTCCTGAACTTGACGGGGTATGTCACTCTTTGTCCCTTAGAGTCACTGCTGAGCAATTAAAAAAAAAAAAAACCAAACCCAAAGCCGTTCCAGATCGATCACATTCATGGGTCTGTGCTGAGTCAATTCTGCACTCCTTAGCTCATTTCAATATAATAATTAAAGGGCTCAGTATTCATCTTGAACAGGGTTTGGAGGTAGAGCAAGTTATCTGGCTTCTGCTAAATAAGGTTACGTGGCCATATAGTTCAACTTCAGTGTTGTGGCACTGCGGAGATACCGGATCAGAGGTATGCAGCTCTTATGTAGTGACACCCTGTTTCAAGATAAAGTTTTTACATTCTTCAGACCTCAGTGTCTCTTTACTTTCCAAAATGATTTTGGCTTTTTTGTAAAATCTGCTTTTTCCATGTTTTTTGTTTCTAAATTTTTGCTGATAACTTAATTCAGTGAAGTCCTTTAGCTTGCTCCTGGTTGACTTCCTTCACTGTGTATAATCACACACAGTGATTACATTGGAACTAAGTGTTTTGCTGCTGCTGAATGTTTTGGTTTTTTTTTGGGTTTTTTTTTTTTGTTGTTGTTGTTTTGTTTTGTTTTTTTTTTTTTTTTAAAAAACTACAACCAAAAACCCCCTCAAACAACCAAACCACCCCACACACACACACAAAACAGCACCCACCACCTTTCTCTTACACAGTTTTTCTAGTTGCACCTTTAACTTGTTACATGCAAAGGTTGAAGTGGCTTGCATCCAGTAGTCATGGTAACTGCTAAATGAAGTTTACTATGTGGAGTGTCAAAGTAGGAATGAAAGAAAGTGTTGGGTTTTTTGTGTCCCATCTTTATTTTTAAAAAGTATCTAGTTGATAACTGTACTAAGGAGAATGCAATTATGTGGCTGTTAGAATTTTTCTTCTAGTCAAGGCTGTATTGGAGTTTTGACCACACTGGTGCATGTATAGTTTCTGTTCAAGAAATTCAAGTAATATGGATTACTTTCTTCATTAAAAAAGTCATTCTGAACTTTGACATTTAAAGAACGTGAGTTTTTTTTTCCAGATAACAACACTGGAGATTAATCACAAAACAAGATGATTTTGATATAAGTAGCTTTTAATTAAGATGCTCATATGACAGGGTTGGGCAGCGGGGAAGTCAAAATGTATGTTAACTAAATAAATTGTTTCCACTTACTTTAAGTGGATTCTTTTCAAGTCTTATTGTGCTGTCTTGAATGCTTAACAGCCTTGCAGTTTTGGCTTTTGTGCTGAATCTCTGGTATTAGATGAACAGTAACTTGCTGTCTTTCCATAACCACTTAAATAAAAATACCATCCAGACAGA